CTCTTTGAACTGCGATGAACCTGACCATGATCTAGCTGAGGTCCTGCAAGGCATGGAGACCCAACGCGATAGGTTTCGCGGCGAGACTGATGTGATCGACGAGCGCCTGCGCGACAAGGGCAAGCCGCTCTCGAGGCGAGCCCGGGAGAACCTGCGCCAGGAGCCGGATGAGAGGGAGCTGTTGGCGAAGGACCCCAACAGGAAGCAGACAGGAAGCAGAAGGGTCCGAGGAAGCGCGACGCCGATTACAACAGGCGCAAGAACTCGAACCGGCGACCACCGCAAGAGAGAAGAGCAGAAAATGAGAGCGCGCGGCGATGGAAGTGGGAGAAGAAGAAGAAGAAGAGGAACAAGTGGAGCTGGACAACCGGCTGGAGTGGTCGAGGAGGTGGACGGATGGAAGCGTATCCGCTTGAACGCGAATGCGGGGGCCGCTGCGACAGGGATCCCGACGGAACTCGCAAGAGGTCACGATCGGTGCCAAATATATACTCGTTGTACGTGTATTTACAGTTTTTTGGAACGTCTTACGAGACCACGGAACACTAATGAGATGCAAGATGAGGGCAGCCATGGGCAGCCTGCAGCTGCAGGGGACTCCTTCACCGGGGTCACCAGGGTCACGGGGGTCACCGGCGTCACCGGGGTCCACCGCCCATTGGCTTCAGGAAGCAAATTTGAAGCAATGTGGCAACGCGCCACTTGGCGCTGTCGAAGCGCCACGGCGGCCAAGAATACGAGCAGTTCACGGATCGCCTGGCTGCGCGCCACGGTGCGCAGCTCACGCCGACCCGTCTGGAACGGAATCCAAAAGGATGGACTTCTGGGTCCAGCCACGCCACTCGGAGAAGAAAGCCGAGATGACGGCCGAGGCGGCTGCGGGATCAGGAGGAGCCCCTTTTTCATGGGTCGAAGACAGAGAGCAAGAGCTTGACAAGAACCTGGACAAGAAGGTGCACGAATTCAAGAGTTTTTCGACCGCGAGAGAAATTCACCGAGACGAGACAGTAAAACTGAAGTGGTGTCTGAGAGATCTTGAAGATCAGGTCAGACACCTGGAAGGCGAAGTCAAGTACCACAAAGAGCAGAAAAAGGAAGACGGAAAAGGCGGTGTTGAAGAAATGCGACGAGGACCACAAGCTGGGAGGCACCTTTTGAGTTGCCTGAAGAATCCCACAGAAATAACTCCGAAATCCCTCGCAAGTCCCTCGTGCGGACAGTGCAAAAAAAGAAAAACCGTCAGAATTCGCCTTGCAACAAAGGTCCGCCACTTTCCGTTCTCAGCCTTGCGCGGTTCCGGGGGTGTCTGTGCCCCGGCACTGCCTCCACTTCACAAGCTAGGGCGGCTCACTCCGAACCGCTGCTGGGTTCAGGGCAATTTTGGCCCTGGGCGTTGAAACAATCGAGGCGTGTGCAAACTTCAAACGGATTCCGCATGCTCCCTCCTCACAATCTAAAAACACTCGTAGGAATCTATGTCCTTAGGCACGTATTGGCGAACCCTGGAAACCCTAAGACCTGAACCCTCAAAACCCCAGGTCCAAGTCCATGCGGAGGATCTGGCGTTACACAGCTGAAAGCCGGAAGCGGATCGACAGGCGCCTTTGACTGAGTCTTTGTCATTCAGGGTTTCGGTATGGATGTCGAACAGAGTCTAATGTTAATGGTCTTAAGCCAATAAAGGAACAACCATGCTCAGCTTTGATTCACGGCTCAGATTTGGCTTTGGAGGTGTAGACGCTTTCGGGCGCTTAGCTTAAGTTGCAAGATTGGTGTGTTGTAGAATGCTTGGCGCCCCGGCTGCCAGAGCCGTAAGTATTGTACACCCAAAGCCCTATTTATCCCAACCGAATCTTAAATCAAATGTATGCTTAATGAACTTTTGCAATTATGACAACAACCACAACAACCACCACCACCGCCACCACAACCACCACCCCCAATTGCAATTGCAATTACAATTACAATTGCAATTGCAATTACAATTGCAATTGCAAGAGAACAGAATATTGACAGCGGGCGCGTGGCCTGGACTGCCAAGTGTCGCTAACGTCACGAGAGTTGCCGCAAGGCGTGTGAGATCAGCGATAATCAAAGAACAAGAAAGAGTCAAAGGCTGTGGCGTGAGGCCCATGACGTGCTTTGACGCGTCCCGGCACAAGCATGTTTGTACCGTCATGTACCTTATTCTAAGTTCCGGAAAGATGAAACGCTTGAAATACGCATTTGCCTTTTCCTTGTCCGGGGGCCTTTGGGCATTTCAGGCATGCACTGTGTTTGGACAGCATCTCAGATGGAGATGCAGAGTTGCCTCAGTATTCGCTCATGTTGGCACATCTGCTGATGACAGGCGCACTCACAACAGCCGGACTGATGGCGAAAAGTCACTCCAACAAGACCATGGTGCGGCGGCCGAGCAATGATCACTTCGAAAAAGAACTGAACCCACAGATGTCCACTATTTCATGTCCTGGCGGGGCAGCTTACGCCCTTTACACCTTCTCTGAACACACTTCCTCAAAGATGGTCCTCTGAAACCCAGTTGACTGCAGAGAGGGCGTAGCTACCACGACAAGAAAAAGGATTCACACCATGACAAGGAAATTTTCGGCACCACGACAGCAAAAAAAAACACCACGACAACGAATGAAACCTGAACACGACAAGGAATGAAGGCCTCGCTGTGGTTAGGAGAAACCCAAACCTCATATTCAAGCCTCAAAAGCTCCAAAACGCTGATTCCCCCGCATTTTCTGCTTGCCCCAGCCCCCAGCCCC